AGTTGTAATTTTGATATGGTTGAGTTAAAAAGCAAGCCATGTCTGCCTGCACTACCATGTTGACCAGAAGTTCTGAGTTCCTTTTATATTTTAGATACCAGTCCTCTATCAGATATATATCTTACATATATTTCCTGTCAGTCTGAGGCTTGTCTTTTCATTCTCTTAATGTTGTTTTTCACAGCAGACATTTTTAGTTTTATGCAATCCAACTTGTCATTGTTTTCTTTCATGGATTGTACTTTTTGTGTTGTATCTAAAAAGTTATTGCAAAACCCATGGTTACCTGGTTTTTTTCCTTTGATATCTTACAGTTTTGCATTTTACATTTAGGTCTTTGACCTTAGTTAATTTTTGTGAAAGGTATCTAGGGTCTTTTTTTTCTTTTGCATATGAATGTCCAGTTGTTCTAGTACTGTTTGTAGAAAAGATTGTCCTCTCTTTTGAATTGGCTGTGCTCTTTGTCAAGGATCAGTTTGCTCTATGTGGGTGGGTGTATTTCTGAACACTATTCTAGTTTATTAATCTGTCTATTCTTTAGTCAGTACTACATTGTTTTGATTACTATGACTTTATATAGTAAGTCTGAAAGTCAGATAGAGTTAGTATTCTGGCCTTATTCTTCAATATTGCGTTGATTATTATGGGCCTTTTGCCTGTTCATATAAACTTTAAAGTCGCTTTGTTAATATCCATAAAATAACTTGTTGGGATTTTGATTGAGGTTGTATTGAATCAAGCCTTTAAGAACTATTAACATGAACATGAAAATATACACATTTAACTTTAAGGTTCTATGAATTTAGATTGTGACTCACTAAATAAATGAAGAAAAAGACCTTTCTTTTTCTCTTGAAAAATCTCTCTCTCTCTCCCTTACACACACCACACACACACACACACACACACACACACACACACACACACACACATCTCCACTTGGCAGCATAACCTATGAATCATGAACCTTAAGCACAAAGTCACACATATTGGTAATCAAGAAGCTTGAATAGAAGTGAAGAAGAAATATGTAGTTATAGCCATGTAATTTTAGGAGATTCCTTTAAAACTATAAGTGATTATGCAGCAATGTGGTTATTAGATGTTTGTGTTGAATATCAGGTGCTGATACTGTATATGGATTACATTTTAATGGGTTAAAAAACGCTGATATCTTAGAGATTTCTTTCTGTGGTTATTCTGATTTTTTTTCTTATTGTTTTTTTGGCTGTACTCATAGAACAGTGTTAAATAATATTGGCGATTGTGGGCATTTCTTTCTCATGCTTCTATAACCACTGAACTCATGTTTGCCTTCACTTATACATACATTGGTTAAGTTCCTCATATCTACTATCCCACCTGGCCAATAATTGTCCACAAAGACCTCAAAGGCACATTTGTGGCCTTTGCTAACACTGCTGACTTTGAGTGTATTCTGCAAAACAGCTTGCGGTGTTCTGTTGCTTTCACCATATAATTTCTCTACTAGAAACCCATGATTGTTAAAATTTGTATAAAATACAAATTTGTGCGTGTCACCTTAATATGAGGTATCTAGTAATTCCTCTTTTGTCTTATGTTTATTTTTTTCACCTTCTTTGTCTTCATCCCTGGATTTGTATTTTTGCTTGCACTCTTAGAAAGTGGTTTTATCTGCTATTTCAATTCAAAGGTTCAGGTTCTCTCATGAGAACTTTATTATCTTCTCACAGTGTGAAATTTCAAATTCTCTCTGTCCTATTTTCTCCCCTCCTGTTGTAATAGTGCTATTTTATTTTATGAAAATAACCTTTATTATATATTTGCTTTCTGTTCCATTTTTGTCATCTTCTGACTCTTGGCATTCTCAATTATACCCATTTTTTTTTTCAGCAGACTTCAAATGGTCCTCTAGTGAGGTGTTATGTTACAACCAACTTACTGTCAGATTTAGTAATGATTTAGGTATACATGTATGAAGCATATTGTGTCAGTGTTTACCAATTGGGAAATGTAGCTTAAGGGTGTATGTCAGTATATTATTCTTTTGACATTTATGTTAGAAAAAATATTCAACATAAAGAAGTTGGAAATTATTGATAATAGTTATACAATAGAAATTGGTTTTTATTTAACATTTACTATATGTCAGCCATTGTTCTGAGCTTTAACATATATTACCCCATTTAATCCATAAAGCTACCTAATGAAGTGAGTACTCTTATTATCCTCATTTTATAGATCAGAAAAATGAAGCACAGATAAAATAACTTGTCCTTTGTGTTACATATTTAGTAAATAACAGCTAGTATTTGAACTCAGATAATCTGTGTAGGCAATATAAAAATGAGTAAGATATAGCCCTGTTTTCAAAGGGCTTACAGTCTAATTAGAGGTGGTATGTATACACATTTATCAAGAAGAACTTTTGGAGGAAGGGCATTTCAGTACTAGGAGAAGATATAAGTTTAGTTTGCATCTTGTGATGGAAGTATTTAAAATGCAGCCTAAGGCATATGAACCTTATTTGGTAGGTAGTAGAGAACACTGAGAATTAAAGAAACTATGGCCCCCAAATAATAGTATTTTCAATAGCTAGTTACTGCCAGCCAGGAATTAAACCTAAATCCTAAACTAGAGCTGTTTCTTTAACATTGCTGTGGTTTTTCTAGATGCCATTTTTTATCCATGTATTTAGTTAATGATCAAGACTTGTTGACTATTCCTTTGAACTGTTTTTAATTCATTAGTTCCTTGAATGTAGTTCATGTTTATGTCAACCTAATATAAGCCCCTAGTCCATACCAGATTCTAATGCTGTAGACAGTAGACTAGTTTCCTTCAGTCTCTTCCCTCTCTCATTTTTCTTTGACTTACTTGGGAAACTAAAAACTAAACTTTAACTCAATTGTTAACTGGGAATTTTTAGTGTGACTGTTTCCAGATTATAAAGTATTGCTTTTTAATGTCATAACTAAAGAATTTTAGAATTTCAGAGATGGAAACTTAAAAAAAAAAACCCTGGTGGTTAAAATCAATGCTCCTTACTCATTCAGTGAAAACAACAGCAACAAAAACAAAAAACCCAACTGTCTCTGATCGAGAGAAAAATGCACAGTTTGTCTTCATAGAGTTTCTAATTTGGCATGGTGACGAATGAACACAATACACTATGACAATATACAGTAGAGGGCTGTATAAGGACACTTATGGAAGTACCAGGCTCTGTTTTAAGGGATTAAGGAAGCTTTCCTTGAGGAAATGCCAACTAATTTAAGATGAAGAGAAGTTAATCATTCTCCAGATCGTGTGCAGTGGAGGACAGGATGAGTGGACTGGCCAAAAGTCCAGAGGGGTTGAGGATATGGTTTTGGAGATGAGAGAGATTATACCATGCTTTGGCAATCTCAGGTAATTTGCTGTGGATTAAGATGTCAGTCTAAGAAAGGCAGATGTTTTAAGGGATAAAATTGAAGAATAAATTGGATTCAGGATCTCTCTGGCCTCATAAGCTATATTTAAGAGTCTCCTTGTCCCTGAAAAATCATGCTTACACTTTGTCATTACTTTTCTTTTTCTAGAAAGCCTTTGCATTTAATTTGTCACTCAAACCTCATACTTTATAGTTCATCCCAAAGTTCTTTCCTACCCAAGAAAATATGTCAGCTTTTTTCTCTGAAAACATGACTCATTATCTCTGCTATTTATTTGCCAGGTGACTCTATATTTTTGTCTCACTATTTTGTTAACTTTTTATTTCATATATTTTTCATCACTCTGTATAGATTGTCAGTCATGGATGGTAAATGCCTACTAATTCATAGATCAGTATTTGAAATTTAATAATGCAACCATATTTAGAAGCAATAAAAATGAAGCAGAATTATGTGAATGAATTAAGATCTTACCTTTGGATCAACAATTTAAAAGATCTTAAAAACCTTTTATGGGGATTAAAAGAAAAATCAGGCCTGAAGTACTTTCAGAGAATTAGTTTCAGACAAAAATAACATTGTGAAAATAAATCTTATATTGAATATTTGAAATTCAGAGATTTGGGAATATTTGTTTAAATCTACAAAATTTAGTAGAAATTCAATATGGCTGATTTTTCAATATGTTGAAATTTAATGCATTATGACTTTTGCAGAGTTAATGAATCATGGATTTAACTTTAATAGTGAAAAAATGTAGCCATGATATTGGAGAGAGTATTTTTTCAGCATGTTCTTGTCTTAAGAACCATGTGAAATTATGTGTAATGTGAATGCAGTACTTTTAAATTGCTGTAGTTATAACTTCTGGTTAAAACATTGTTTTCCATGTCTATGAACCACATTATCCCTAGTGTTGAATGTTCAAACAAAAAAGTTCTAAATTATTCAGAATTTATGTTGTATGAAACTAAGGGAGCCTTACAAGTTTTTGGAGTCGATGTTTTAAAAATTTAGTTTAAGATTAGGAAACAAAATTTATAAAACCTTGTTTAATCTTTGTTGGAAAAGATGATTTATCAACAATGTAAAAATGAAGAAATAAGCATTCATCAGTCTCATCTGCTGGAACTTTCAAGGAATAGGAATCTGGCAGTATGTCAAAGCTGATTATTAACATAGGTAGCATATTTAAGGGGCTTAAAAACAATGTGATGTTTAAGAGGCCAATTAAGTCAAAAGATGAAAAGCAGACAAACAGTGCAGGAAAAAAGAAAAATAACTAATTTTTTCCAGACAAGGCCTTTCCCCAGTTTTTTCTATCTATTCAAGTTCCTAAGGATTAAGGTTTATGTATTAAAAAACACAAAAGGGAGTACAGAAGATAATTCTAGTGACAACTAGAACTGATTGTACTGATTGTCCAGTTGGAAACAAATTAGGTGTCTGAGGTGGGTAAAAGTCAGTCTTTGTGATAATGATAAATGAATTGTAGTAATCATTGCAATAATTTCATTACCTTTATTTCTTTCTGAAACTGTGTTGTATATCTTTTACTTCCAAATTCTTCTCCTGCCCTTCCAGAGGCTCTCCCTACAGAGAATCTCCTTTGGGTCATTTTGAAAGCTATGGAGGGACCCCCTTTTTCCAGGCTCAGAAGATGTTTGTAGATGTACCTGAAAACACAGTGATACTGGATGAGATGACCCTCCGGCACATGGTCCAGGATTGTACTGCTGTAAAAACTCAGTTGCTCAAACTGAAACGTCTCCTGCACCAGGTGAGTACATAATGAACATTTTCAGCTGTGATATTTTGAGTTTCAAGATGGATTGACATTACTTTAAAAAAAAATAGTTGGGTTTCAATGTCTGTTTTGATTTCTGTAAAAATAATGCTTGTAAATGATACATGATAGAAATTTTTATGGGAGGAAAAAAAACATGGGATTTTGATTCATGGTCTCAGTATAGTCCCCAACATTTATGAGCTGTGTAATAATTGGGTAAGCCAATCTCTCTGCTTATGTTTCCTCGCTTTTATAGTACCTACATTTTAAGTTTATTGTAGTTGTAAATTGAGAGATTGAATACCTGAAATATAGTAGGCATTCAGTTGTCAGTGATTGCTATTGTAAGTTCAGCTAAGTGGAAAATAAGAAACAGCAGTTTTCACTTACATAACCATGTAATTTCACTTTTCTTTGAAACCTGCAAGTTTAATCTTTCCCAGTCTTATTTTTTTTATTTGATAAAATTTAGACTCATGGCAGTGATGTCACTTGTTAAAAGATACAGGGTGCACTGATGGTTGAATCTGGCTTCTGATTCTTATTTTTTTTTTTAACTTATAAAAGAGATTTATTTTTAACTATTGTTTATTGATTATGCTATTACAGTTTTCCCCATTTTTCCCCCTTTATCCCGCCTCCACCCTGCCTGTCAACCCTCCAGCATTCTCTCCCCCCCACTTAGTTCATTTCCACAGTTGTACATATAAGTTCTTTGAGTCTTTTGTTTCCTATACCATCTTTATCTGTCCCCAACTATTTTATGCCTACTAATTATGCTTCTTCTTCCTTGTACCTTTTCCCCTCATTCCTCCCTTCTCTCTCCCCACTGCACTCCCTCTGTGTGATGTCCATTTCTCTGGCTCTCTTCCTGTTCTGGTTGTTTGCTTAGTTTTTGTTTTCATTGTTTTTCTTTTCTTTTAGGTTCATTTGTTAATAGTTGTGACTTTGTTGTCCTTTTATTGTTCATATTTTTTATCTTCTTTTTCTTACATAAGTCCCTTTAATGTTTCATACAATAAGGGCTTGGTGATGATGAACTCCTTTAACTTGACCTTATCTGGGAAGCGCTTTATCTGCCCTTCCATTCTAAACGATAGCTTTGCTGGGTAGAGGAATCTCATTGTCTTTTATGACTTTCCAGCCCCTTCTTGCCTGTAAGGTTTCTTTTGAGAAATCAGGGGATAGCCTTAAGGGAACTCCTTTGTAGGTAACTGTCTCCTTTTCTCTTGCTGCTTTTAGGATTTTCTTTGTCTTTGATCTTGGGTAACTTAATGATGATGTGCCTTGTTGTGTTCTCTCTGGGTCCAATTTCTTTGGGACTCTCTGAGCTTCCTGGACTTCCTAGAAGTCTATTTCCTTTGCCAGATTGGGGAAGTTACCCTTCATTGTTTGTTCAAATAAGTTTTCAATTTCTTACTGTTGTTCTTCTTCTGGCACCCCTATAATTCAGATATTGGAATGTTTCAGGTTGTCCCAGAGAATCCTCAGCCTCTCTTTATTTGGATTCTTGTTTCTTTGTTCTGATCCGGTTGGATGTTTATTTCTTCCTTTTGTTCCAAATCATTGCTTTGAATCCTGGTTTCTTTCTTGTCACTGTTGGTTCCCTGAATATTTTGCTTTATTTCTTTTTGGGTATCTAATTTGTTCTTTCATTTTTTGACCAAGCTCTGTCAGTTCTGTGAGCATTTTGATGACCAGGGCTTTAAATTCTCCATCAGATAGGTTGGTAATCTCATCACTTAGTTCTGAGGTTTTTCTGTGTTCTTTCATTTTGGCCATATTTCTTTGTCTTGGTGCAGGTGATGATAGGTTGTAAGGGGGTGGGGGTGGGGCCTTAGGTCTTCACCCTGGCAGGGCAACCCTTTTTGCTCTCTTCCTGTGTGGGAGGGGCCAGAGTGGGAACAATGCAGCTTGACTGCTCTTTTCTAACACACTTTCCAACAGACTGTCATGTCAGACTGGAAGTATCTCTCCCCTCGGCAGCCCCAGCCTTAGCCCACGGTCAGCTCTGAGTCTGTTTTCCCCTTAAGTCAGTTCCTCCCCTCAGTTGCCTTGCTGCAATTTTTCTGAGCCTGAGCGGTCTGCCTTACCAGTCTGGTTTTTCTGTTTGGTTTTTTCTTTAATTCCTTGGTTGTCAGAGTTCCATGCAGTTTGATTTTCTGGCACTTTAGGATGTTTATTGATTTAGATTGGTTGTTATCCTCCTTTTGGTTGTGTGAGGAAGTGAAAGGTTTCTACCTATGCCTCCATCTTCATGGGAACTCTGGCATCTGATTCAATGGTACTGTTTTTGTTTGAACATATAACACATACAGACAAGGTCAAACGCATAGGAGAAAACGAAAGAATAAAATACTAATTTTAAAGTGATATTTTTTGTTTAGTGTTGTATTAACTAAACAAAAAATCTGTATTTGTCGTTTGTAGACTAACCAAAATTAGCTTAAATTATTGTTGAGAAAGAACATTCTGGCTTTTCTGCTCAACTTTTTCATCTTCCTCGGGGTTGTATGTTCCAGCTAATTAGGAGTAGGGACCACATTTTAGAATTTATGGAGCTGATTAAAATCAAACTCATGATATATCTCAGAAATAAAATATGGCTCTCCTGTATCAGTGATGATGATTCACATAAATATTCTGTTAAAGTCCTGTAAATTGTTTTATATTACTTGGTTATGGATTTTTCTGGACTATTCTTCTCCACTCTTGTAGATATAACTTTTCTGTGCTAAGACTGGGAGCAAGAAAGCAGAGGATCCTTTTTGGATATGTGATTCTTTGACTCTTGTCAAGGCAGAAAGGATTTCCTGTTTGAAGTATACAGACATACAGGTTACTGTAACAGGAGGTAGACTGGTTTATAGTATTTCTCTGCTTACCCATCTAGGGAGAAGATTTTCTGATCAGGAGCTTCAGAGTCAAAGGGACAAAGTAGTAGAAAGAGTGGGAAATAGCTAAAATATATGCAATATCTTCTTAGAGTCAATCATTGGTCTAGCTATATCACATATCCCCTTTTGTACCTGGGTTTATTGTCCTGAAACATGAAGCATTATTGAATGTCATGCTAATAAGACCAGGCCACCTCTGGTAATGAGAAAAGTAGTATAATTCAGGAGAGAATAGGTGTATAAGTACCATAAGAATAGAAAACTGTTTTTCCAGACATTTTCTAAAAAGCTGAATCTCCTAATGCCTTTCTGTCGTTATAGCCTCTGAAATTTATAGTGTACACTGATCAAATTGACTTTTTGTTTATTCAGTGACAGCAAAATTATGAGAAGAAAATTGTGAAATCTTTTTAGGGTATCTTTAAAGTTTCCCAGAATGCTAATAAGATGTTAAAAGCTGAATGAGTCCAAGATTTCATATATCTGCCTCTTAATTTTCCCTTTTAATATTACTAAATTTTAAAAAGCTTATTATGATACATGTACATGGTTTAAAATTTTTCTTAATGAAAAATAGCATTCCTGTCCCTCTTTCCACCTCAGTCAACCTTTTAGCATCTGAAGAGGTTATTGTCTCAAGGTTCTTTAAGGCTGTCCTGTGTGGACTTTCTTTTCTTATACTCTGGGACAGGGTCCTCTTATTTTCTGGATAACATCTTTTTTCCCTTATGTTTACTCCCTCATTTTTCTAGAGTATACCCTTAATTTACTTCCTAAGACAGGTCAAATGGATGTTTTTGTTTTTGTTTTCACTCACTGCATTACTGAAAATCTCTTCCATCTACTCTCATTTCATTGATATTAATAGTTCGGCTGTGATGGAACTTAGTTTTCCATTAAATATGAATGTATTGCTTTTCTAGGATCCAGTTTACCAACTGAGAGAAGTTCACTACATTCCAATCCATTTTACATTGTATTTTGCCTGTTTTTAATTTCTCTGGGAGATTTTTTTAATCTTTTATTTCTGACATTTTAATCTTTTTCCTGGCATTCTGAAGTTCATAAGGATGTGCTGAGATTTGAGTTTCATTGTACTTGTGTGTTTTCCAATTAATGTATGTGTAATTGTTGGACTCTTTTGAAGAATCATATAGTGTGAAATTATGTCATTTCTATGGTTTCTTGTTTTGCCCTGTACCCCCCCTCCCCCCGCCGTATCTTTCTGGTATTCTTCATAATCACAAACTGAATCATAGAACCGAATTGTTTCTCAGTCTTTTATTTTTTCTTTCATATTTTCCATTTCTTTGGGCTTGATTATGTTTTCTAGTTATTTATTCAACTTTATATATTCCAGCTTTTTCTGTTGAATTACTTATTTTGGCAATGGTATTCTCAGTGTCCAAGAACTCTTTATTGTATACCATACTTATTCATATTGTTCAATTCTTGTTCTGTCAGTAACTGCATTAAGTAGAATGTTTTTGTTATGTTTTGTTAAGATTTCTCAGGTTCCCTTCATTATCTCTCTTTCTAAATGGTTGTTTTGTTCATTATATTTATTTTGTTTTCCTTTCTCTTAGAATCTTTCTTCAAACATACAAATAATTCTTTGTTGCTTATTAATATTTAAAAATGAAGAACTACAAAGTTCCTCTGTATAGGAGCTGGCTTATAATCTGGCTGGTTTTATTTTACAGTGATGGATGGATGTCAGTGGATCCTTAGTATCCACACTAAGCAGGAGATTTTTCCTTCTGAGGTTATTGTAGTTTCTCCAGAGAAGAAACCTGATATTTTTGCTTAGATTAGAGGTAGAAGACTGGGAGTCTGTTCTTGCCTTATGCAGACTTCCATTTAATTTCCACATATTTTTACACTGACAGGTCATGTGCTTACCTTTTTCTGTATTTAACATTTTGGCCCTCTTTGGGGTTTTACAGAGCATATTTTGTTCATGTTTTTTTATATATATACACTTTAGTTATGTCTTCTTCCAGTCCTGCTAAAATCACTAAGTTTCTGTTTTTAGTCCTGATAAATCACTTACTAAGTTTATGTTTTTGAAAAATTTATTTACTACCATTTTAG